TGTGGAAGTGACAAGGACAATATGACAATGAGTAGATTGTCCTTTCTGTGAATAAAGACAAAAGACTGATTCAGTTCATAACAGGGTGGAAAAAAACACTCTGGGTCCATTCACCAAGGAGATTCCTAATGACCAGTGGTGCTTCATGAAAGGCAGGGCCCTGGCACCTAGGGACTAGCAATCAGTGAAATTGACTGAAGTGTGAGGTGAGAATCTACTTAGATAGGAAAGGTAACTATTAAGAAGTGTAGGTTGCATTTTCTGATTTTGTTTAGTTGGTAACAGTTGGTTTCCATCACTCACATTTGTTTGTTTAAATCTCTATCTGTTCTTAAATAAATTTCTGCTTGTTCGATAACTATACTCAAGTGCTGTGTGAGATACAGTAGTAGTGGTCCACAGTAAAACTAATAACCTGGGATACTTTGGGGAGAGAGGATCTGGGATTTCTCTGAGTATCTGGTGGTCAGGGCTGGACCCCAGAGGGGGACACATTGAAGGAACTCAGGGGTTAGGGTAACTGCTGTAGCTCAGAGGAGGGTCCTTGAGTTCCAGCAGCCTCGGTGAGTTTGATCACTAACATCCAGCTGCCAAATGCAAAACTCCCTCTTCCTAGTGGCAGGTGGCGACAAGGAGACTCACAGTCCTCAGCACCCTGAGAAGGGTCACAATGTGTCTCTATGTTGATCCACCTGTCAAATTCACACAGGAAAAGTACCCTATAGCATAGTTCCCTGAATCAAAATAGCCCTAAAACTCTGCCCTATGAAATCATGGAACATGTAAAGAATCCAAGCACTGGAGGATAGGGTTTGGGTCCAGAGTGCCTAGACAAATTGGAGGATTGGGCCAAAATAAATCTGAGGAGGTTCAACAAGGAGAAGTGCAGAGTCCTGCACTTAGGACAGAAGAATCCCATGCACTGCTAGAGACTGGGGACTGACTGAGTGAGGGGGGATTTGATAGCAGCTTTCAACTACCTGAAAGGGGGTTCCAAAAAGGATGGAGCTCGGCTGTTCTCAGTAGTGGCAGATGACAGAACAAGGAGCAATGGTCTCAAGTTGCAGTGGGGGATGTCTAGGTTGGATATTAGGAAAAACTATTTCATTAGGAGGGTGGTGAAGCACTGGAATGGCTTACCTGGGGGGGAGGGGTGGAATCTCCATCCTTAGCAGTTTTTAAGACCCTGTGTCGTTATTGATATAATCTGGGACCATATAAAACATGGTTGCAACCAAAGTCCTATAGTGGCACCAAATCTTGTATAAAGGGGGTCAAATGAAGTGTCTAAGACAAGGTTATGGTTTGCTGGTTATGATTATGCTGTCTATATGTGTGTATCAATTTTGTATTTGAAGTTATGAATATTGGCTTTATACTGTCTGTATTTCAAACTTATGCTATGCTTCTGGGAGACATCCCAGACAAGTTGGTGTTAGCTCTGCCTAGCCTGCTTGATGGCCCATTAAGGACCATCAGCTATACAATTGACCCACTGAGAGAAGGCAGATACGCCTTGCAACTCAGCAAAGTATGCAGGGACTGGCCCATGTGACTCCAGACTCCATTTTGCTGTAATTTTCCACAGTAAGGACAAAGAGGTGTTCTTACACCTGGAAAAGACTATAAAAGGCTGATGCCTCATCTCCATCTTGTCTTCAATCCTGCTTCTTACCTCTGGAGGGACTTTGCTACAAACTGAAGCTCTACACAAAGGACTGATGACCAATCCCAGCTGGGGATATATTCCAGAGACTTGATTGGAACCTGCAGTTTAGTTCATCACTGCTACAAGTCTGAACCAAGAACTTTGCCATTACAGTATGTAATTGATTCCATTTAACCAATTCTAGCTCTCATCTATATCTTTTTCCTTTTATGAATAAACCTTTAGATTTTAGACTCTAAAGGATTGGCAACAGCGTGATTTGTGGGTAAGATCTGATTTGTATATTGACCTCGGTCTGGGGCTTGGTCCTTTGGGATCGAGAGAACCTTTTTTCTTTTATTGGGGTATTGGTTTTCATAACCATTTGTCCCCATAACGAGTGGCACTGGTGGTGATACTGGGAAACTGGAGTGTCTAAGGGAATTGCTTGTGTGACTTGTGGTTAGCCAGTGGGGTGAGACCAAAGTCTTCACTGTCTGGCTGGTTTGGTTTGGTGGAAAAAACCCAGCCTTGGGATGTAACTGCCCTGTTTTAGCTATTTGTCCTGAATTGGCACTCTCAGTTGGGTCCTGCCAGAACCAGCATCGTTACAGACCCGGCTTGACAAAGCCCTGGCTGGGATGATTTAGTTGGGGTTGGTCCTGCTTTGAGCAGGGGTTTGGACTAGATGGCTTCCTGAGGTCTCTTCTGACCCTAATCGTCTATGATTCTAAGTAGCTGCAAGTGGTCCCCAAATGTTTCTTTATGTTCACATCTGTACAGATGCTGGGAACAGGCGACAGGGGATGGATCATGTGATGATTGCCTGTTCTGTTCATTCCCTCTGAAGCACCTGGCATTGACCACTGTTGCAAGACAGGACACTGTGCTAGATGGACCATTGGTCTGACCCAGTCTGGCTGTTCTTATGTTTTATGTACAGGAATGAGGCACTTACAAAGCAGAAATGGGGGGAGGGGCTCTAAACTTAAATCAGTTTTAGAGAGAAATGTGTGCAAACACACTGAGACTCGACGTATGGAAGAAATAACAAGTGATCCCCAGCTCCTTCACCCCACTTAGGTGGGGATTAGCTGCCAACAGCTGCTACTGCTGCTCTGACGGGAGCCTGTGGATGCAGCCCACCAGCTGGTTCTCCTGGGGCAGACGGTGAGTTGCTGTGCAGGGATGCTGCACCGGCTGGGGTCTGAAATATGAACAGGGATCTAAGGACTCTAAACCGGCCTCTAGTGGTGGTCGAGGATGCTGAGGCAGTGGAAACTCAGCATTACAGTCATCAAGATTCAAAGCTGCTTGGAGGTGGAGAGGAGGGGGTGACTCTGCTGGACTTTTATTACCTCCCCTTAACTACTCACCCACAACAACCTGGCAGCCCCGAATTTTCTCATTGCTCTGTGATTGTGTTCTCTGTGGAAAGGGGCTTCTCAGAACTGGTATTTCCAGCTGCATTAAAGAGTCATAAAAGAGAATAAAGAGTTAATGTCTTATTGTATGGAGCTGAAACCTGGAGGATAACTAAAACAACCACCAGGAAGATCCAGACTTTCATAAATAGTTGCCTTAGAAGGATTCTCCAGATCCGTTGGCCAGACACCATCAGCAACATCTACCTCTTGGAGAGGACCCATCAACTTCCAGCAGAGGAAGAAATTAGAAGGAGAAGGTGGGGTTGGATAGGACACACACTACGCAAGCAGCCAACCAACATCACTAGACAGGCATTGCGGTGGAACCCCCAAGGCAAACGGAAAAGAGGCCGTCCAAGAAACACCTGGCGACGCGACCTTCATAAAAATGGGCTATACCTGGAACCAGCTAGAGCAAATGGCCCAGGATAAAGGACTCTGGAGATCTGTGGTTGGCGGCCCATACCCCGATTGGGGTGACGGGCATGAGTGAGTGAGTGAGTCTTAGAAAAGTCTTTGTGTGTGTGTTAGACGGGTGGGAGGTTGTCCAGAAATCAGTTTGTCCCAGTCTCTTTGGGATTTCCTTTAGAAAAAGCTGAAGCAGGGAGCAAACCATCTCCTTTCTCTGAGGTTTGAAGCCAGGACTTTCAGATTATGAAACTAACACACTGACAACTGCACTAAGAAGGCTTTGAAAGGCTTTTGGCTAAGTGCATGTAGGACCCTCCTACAGAAACGACTGTGGCAGAAAAGAAGCCAGGGGCATGCTGGAAGAAGCAGGGAGATCTGGTGCCCAGAGATCTTTCCTGGCAGATTTCTCAGCACCAAACAAATCAACTCCCCCTGCCATTGAACAATCCACCTGGAACTAAGAGCAGCATTGTGGGCTTTCTCCTTGCCACTTCTGCTGGGGTGGGCAGGCATCCTGGAGGCCTTTCTAGAAGAGAATTGGGAACTGAGTTAGAAAAACCAATTTGAAAACTGGAACCTCAGGTTTAGACTCATTTATTTATAATATTAAATCTTTGATTCTAGTGTCACAATCAATACAATTGCTTCAGCCTGATAGTTTCCCAAAGGGAAAACTTAACTTCTCTCCCAGAGGGAGTTGAGAGAAAGCACTTTTCAGAGTCCAAGAGAGACAGGGTGAGTGAGGATAAGAGCTTGCAGAGGACCAACCTCTGTTGGTGAAAGAGAGAAGCTTTGGAGCTAACCCAGAACACTTCTTCAGTTCTGTGTAGCCTGAAAGGTCATCTCTTCCATAAACAGCAGTTAGAACATAAGAATAGCCATACTGAGTCAGACTAGTTCATCTAGCCCACTATCTCGTCTTCCAAAAGTGACCAAAGCCAGGTGCCCCAGAGGGAATGAACAGAACAGGTAATCATCAAGTGATCCCTCCCCTGTTGCCCATTCCCAGCTTCTGGCAAAAAGAAGCTGAGGGACACCATCCCGCCCCAACCCTGTTCTAGTCTTGGCCTTCAAAACACCCTCTGGCAAACAGTTCCCCAGGTTAACTGTGCATTGTGTGAAGAAATATTTCCTTCTTCTTCGAGTGATTGCTCATGTGTATTCCACTATAGGTGTGCATGCTCGCCACGTGCACCGGTGCCAGAAGTTTTTCCTTAGCAGTACCCGTACTGGGGGAGCACCACTGCGACCCCTGGAGTGGCGCCTGTATATCGCACCATAAAGGGGGCTGCGTGCTCCCCCCACCGTCAGTTCCTTCTTGCCGCCAGTGAAGGTAGTCAGAACTTGTGCTCCAGCTTTGGCTGCAGTGATTATAGCCTTAGTGGTATCCCTTTCATGAGTAGACAGTTCTCTAGTAGTTCTCTAGTAGTAGCCTGGCTCGGGGCATGCCCCATGGCCCAGGCTTCAAATCGTGCGACTCTTGTCTCAATTCTATGCCCAGAAGCGATCCACACTCCCAGTGTCTTTGCTGTCTGGGCGAGGCTCACATCAGTGAGCGTTGCAAGATCTGCAGATCATTCAAGTCTCGGATGAAGTGAGAACATGATATCCGACTCCGGGCCCTACTTATGGAGTCAGCACTGGCCCCAGTACCGACACGTCGACCCCACCCTGCGCCGGTCACCGCATCTTTGGTGTGCAGTGAGGCCCCATCTACCAGTCGGCACCGCTCCCCCGCTAAGAAGCAAGGGAAGACACAGCGGCACCGAGATAAGGATAGGGGTGAGGCCAGACCCGAGTTGGGCAGCCCACGATCCCCGTCAGGACCTAGACCTCCTACTCGAGCTGAGTGGAGTAGTCCGGTCCCGTCCGTGCGTGCCTCTCCTGAAGTGAGGATGCCGTCGACACCAGAGGCAGCCCAGGCCGCGCGCGACATCCTCTCCCTTCTGGTGCTGGGAGCACCACCTCAGTCGGGCCCCTGGTCGCGAGGGAAACTGCCCTAGGGCGCAAACCAGCCTTCCCCGGATGCAACGGAGGCGGAGGTGCCTCCCTGCACCGAAGCACCTGCCCGAAGCCCGCAGCAAACTTCCACCCCGCGGGCCAGGTCTCCTGGGAGTGAGTCGGACTCCTCCGCCAGGAGGGACCGCAGGTGCTGGGACAAGAGGCGACAACACTCCTCCTCCAGTCGGAGTGAGAGGAGCAGGTCTCGACACCGATGGCACCGGCACTAATACTCCAGCACCTGCTGGGATACACGCCATGCTCGGAGTGCATCCCAGGCGTCCCCAGCACCGAGGCATCATAGCCACGGTCACCGGTGAGAATCGACAGACAGTACCTCCGACGTTTACTTATCTTCATCATCGAGGTTGAAGTCTCGGGGCCGGAAACATCATGGCTGGGACCGGTCCAGCTGATTGTACAGCACCGTGCACTCGTCGATGACCTCGGTGTCAGCGCCCAGCCACCCTTCTCCGTGCCGCACTGCACCGCAAGAGCAAGCAGCTCTACCAGGGCCCCACACGACTCAGTGGCAGGGGGCGCCCTGGCAAGGACAATGGTGCCAGTGGGCACCGTGATCCCAGGTGCCCGCACCGGTGAGACCCTGTTCCATTGCCAGGGCTTCTCAGGTCCACTCAGCGTCTCCACCTCGGCACCGTGACCGGTCCTTGGGCACCGAACCACCGGCACCGATCCTGGGCCCAGATCCGGGGTTCAAGCCGATGGTGCCGCCGGACAGTGTAGACACAGCGCCAGCTGCCTCCTCGGCGCTGGACAAGTCCATTGCGGTGCCGCCTCCGGTGTCTCAGGAGGACTTTAAGGCTCACCAGAAGCTCCTTAGATGGGTGGCATCGAACCTCTAGCTCCAGGCTGAGGAGATGGAGGAGCTGTTGGACACCTTATTCAATGTCCTGACCTCTTCGGCACCAGGCCGTGTGGCCCTTCCTCTACACCAAGGGGTGGCCAATATTTCCACCAGTCTTTGGCAGACCCCGGCCTCCCTGGGGCCTATTTCTAAGAAGGCCAAACGAAAGTATTTCGTGCCCGCAAAGGGGCACGAATACCTGTACACCCACCCAGCCCCGAACTCTCTGATTGTGGAGTCGGTTCACCACTGGGAGAGGCATGGCCAGCCCGCGCCCACCCCCAAGGACAAGGATGCTCGGAGACTTGACACCTTTGGAAAAAAGGTTTATTTATCGGCAAGTTTCCAGCTCAGAGTTACTAACCACCAGGCGCTGCTGAGCTGATATGATTTTAATCTGTGGGGGTCCCTCCCAAAGTTTGAGCCCCTCCTCCAGGACAAACACAAGAGGGAGTTCTGGGCCTTGGTAGACGAGGGTGAGGCGGTGGCCAAAGCAGCTCTACAGGTGGCTTCTGATGTGGCGGATACAGCGGACCATTCGATGGCTTCGGCCATCTCCATGCGAAGGGCGTCGTGGCTGTCACTGTCGGGGCTGTCTATGGAGTCCCAGTCCCTCATGCAGGACCTGCTGTTCGATGGGAAGGCTCTGTTTGTGGACCAGATGGACACTTGTCTGCATGGGATGAAGGATTCCTGCACCACCCTGCAGATGCTAGGCCTGTATGTCCCGCCCGCCAAGGACAAGCCCAGGCCTCAGACCTCAGCTCCCCGGTTCAGGGCAGATACGAGCCCCCACCTAAACGGCAGAGGGAGCAGAGGCATAGGTCCCAGCGCCAATCCTGTTCAGCCCCGAGACCTGGTCCCTCGAAGGGCAAGAGGCCAGGGAAGAGGCGCTTTTGACTCGTTGCAGGGGGAACCGGTCCTGTTGCCAGGGAAGCCCCCTAGTTAATAAAGTTGACATTTACCAACCGTTTATCTGCCTTCCAACTGCAATGGTCCCGTATAACGTCGGACTGATGGGTCCTCAGCACCATCTCCCCAGGGTACAGGTTGCAGTTTGTTTCGCCCCGTCCCCACCATCCTCCGGCCCGGGAGCCGCCCGGGGACCCAGAGCATGCCCTCCTCCTAGGCCGGGAGGTAGCGCGCCTCCTTGCCCTGGGGGCGGTGGAGAGAGTACCTCGGGAATTCCAGGGCAAGAGGTTTTACTCCAGGTATTTCCTGATCCCGAAGGCGAAAGGCAGGCTTAGACCCATCCTCGATCTGCGGAATCTTAACCAGTTCCTGGTTCGTTGCAAGTTCCGCATGGTGTCCCTGGCCTCTATTGTTCCATCCCTAGACCTGGGGGATTGGTTCATGGCCCTGGACCTCCAGGATGCGTATTTTCACATCCATATTTTCGAGAGTCACAGGCATTTCCTCCGTTTCCTGCTAGATCAGGACCACTACCAGTTTATGGTCCTCCCCTTTGGCCTTTCTACGGCGCCCAGGGTCTTTACCAAATGTATGGCGGTGGTAGCGGCCCACCTCAGGAGGAACGGGCTGCAGATCTTCCCCTACCTGGACGACTGGCTGCTCAAGGGTAAGTCTCGGTCTCAGGTGCAGGAGCAGATGAACTTCCTCCTAGACACCTGCGCGACTCTAGGTCTAGTAGTAAACGAGAAGAAATCCACATTACTCCCGGTTAAGCACATACACTTCATAGGGGCGCTGTTAGACTCCCGGGTGGCCATGGCCTCCCTCCCACAGGACAGATTCGAGATGCTCAAAGGTCTCATTGCCTCGGTCACGGCCTTCCCCGTAACCACAGCACGGGTGTGTCTTCAAATCCTGGGCCATATGGCAGCATGCATCTATGTGGTGCGACATGCCAGGCTCAGAATGAGGCCCCTCCAACTCCGGCTGGCCTCCCGGTATTCCCAGGCCAGGGATGGCCTGGACAAGGTCGTTACGTTGCCACCCACAGTAGTGGCAGACCTGCAATGGTGGTCCCTCCCGGGCAACATGCTTCGAGATATCCCCTTCCGGGAGCCCCCTCCCACACTAGATCTGGTGTCGGACGCCTCAGACCTGGGATGGGGAGCCCACGTGGGGGGCCTCAAGACCCAGGGCATGTGGTCTTCTGCAGAACTGGCCCTGCACATAAATGTCAGGGAACTCAGGGCCGTGCGCCTGGCGTGCATGGCCTTCTGCCAGCACTTAGAGGGGAAGGTGGTCACAGTCCTCACGGACAATACAACCGCGATGTGTTACGTCAACAGGCAGGGGGGCACGTGTTCGACGGCCTTGTGCCAGGAAGCCCAGATCCTGTGGGAGTTTTGTATAGCCCATGACATCCTCCTGAGGGCTTTTCACCTGCCCGGTGAGCGCAACACGCTCATGGATCACCTGAGCAGGGTTTTCTCCCAACAGCACGAGTGGTCCCTGCACAGGGAAGTGGCCAGGTGGCTCTTCCTAGAGTGGGGCACTCCCCAGGTAGATCTGTTCGCCACCACCCAGAATCGCCTGTGTCCATGATTCTGCTCCAGGGCGAGAGAAGGCAAGGGTGTGATATTGGACGCGTTCCTGCTCCCATGGTCAGGGCCCCTGTTTTAGCCTTCCCACCGTTCCCCCTGATAGGCAGGGTCCTACAGAAGGTGAAGTCAGACAGGGCGCAGATTATCATCATAGCCCCGGACTGGGTCCGTCAACATTGGTATGGGACCCTACTGTAACTCTTAGCGTCCCCCCCACGCAGGCTGTTGCTTTGCCCGGACCTCGTCTCCGAGGAGGAAGGGCATCTCCTCCACCTCAACCTGGCCGCGCTCCACTTGAGAGTGTGGCTGCTCCGTAGTTGAATGAGGAGGAAGGGAGGTGTTCTGAGGATGTGAGACAGGTCCTGCTGGAGAGTAGGAAACCCTCCACATGTTGAACCTACTTGGCCAAATGGTATCGGTTCTCCATGTGGGTAAGGGAAAGGGGTTCCTCTCCCTCCTCAGCGTCTAGCCAGCTCGTCCTCGATTACCTCCTGTCCCTTAGGACCCAAGAGCTGGTGCCCTCCTTTGTCAGGGTGCACCTGGCGGCCATTTCGGCCTTCCACCCCCTGGTGCAGGGCCACTCGGTGTTTTCACATCACATGATGCCCCGGTTTCTAAAAGGATTAGATCGGGCATTCCCTTACATCTGTACGCAGTAGTCAAGATGTGGGTGTACCATGGATTTATATAAGGGCAATAAGATATTCTCTATCTTATTCTCTATCCTTTTTTTAGTGATTCCTAACATCCTGTTTGCTTTTTTGACTGCCGCTGCACACAGTGTGCTCGTCTTCAGAGAAATATCCATGATGATTCCAAGATCTCTTTCCTGATTAGTTGTAGATAAATTAGCCCCCATCATATTGTATGTATAGTTAGGGTTATTTTTTCCAATGTGCATTACTTTATATTTAGCCACATTAAATTTCATTTGCCATTTTATTGCCCAGTCACTTAGTTTTGTGAGATCTCTTTGAAGTTCTTCACAGTCTGCATTGGTCTTAACTATCTTAGGCAGTTTAGTATTGTCTGCAAACTTTGCCACCTCACTGTTTACCCCTTTTTCCAGATCATTTATGAATAAGTTGAATAGGATTGGTCCTAGGACTGACCATTGGGGAACACCACTAGTTACCCCTCTCCA